ACACACACACACACACACACACACGAGTCAGTTTTCCCAGATGCCATCTAACCTACAGTATCACCATTGGACTGTTGGATGACACTGAAGCACCCAGAGGAAACCTATGTGAACAAGGGAACAATATAAAAACTCCATGCAGACAGCACCCCAGAATTGAACGCAGGGCTCCAGCACTACAAGGAGGCAGTACTAATCTCTACTCTGCCATGCCATCATGCAGGGCCTACAAAATGTTAAAATATAGAAACAAATAGACAGTTGATTGTTAATGTACTGAGTACAAAAAGCAAAAGATGGAGAATGTCCAAATCACACGAACATAACAAGGATGTCGTTGTCAAAAATGAAAATAGACACACAGTGAGAACAATCCTATGTTTGCTTTACTAGGAATTATAATATCTAGTCTATGAAACACAATTAAGGTGGTGCTAGCATTTTCAATAGTCATTTAAAAGGCATAACTAAAAGGCTATGAAATTTATGGATTGATTTTATTGTGAAAATAACGCAGTGTAATTCTAATAATGCTGTGTTTTAACCATGTATCTAAGGTGGTTTCTTTTCAGACCATTTTAGCTGCCCTTTAAAGTCATGACTCAGGTCACGCCACCTGATTGCTGGTCAACAGAGCCCTGTAAGTAAGACAAGTAATTGGATCAGGCAACAGTAGTACACATCTGGACACCAACTGTAAGAATTTGCTCATATGCTGTAAATGAGAGCCCATTAACACACAATTTTGCTACCCTTGCCCACTAACAAACCCGGATACTACCATCCATAGAATGTTTGGGACAACTTTAGAAAACAGTGAATAAGGCCCTAACTTCCCAAGAGTTGTGGTATCGGATCTCATGGGTGCTGCTTGGTTACACCAGTAGAGGAATGAGCAGGAATGTTGCAGTCAAGATCTGTTAATCCTTGCCTAACCAGTCATTGGTATCTTTATTACATGAGTGAAGTTCTGTGCAAGGAAAGCAGAGCATGTCTACTCTCAGGTACAACTGCACTGTTCACTTCTGAAATGATACTCTGGATTCTGCCATTATTATGCATTCAGTAGATTCCCAGCCTTTAGCATAGGGTTTAATGGGCTTCTTGAAAAGCTTACTTCCTAAAGTTTCACAAATATTTTAGCTATTACACCAGAAGAAGTCTCCACAGCCAAAATGTTGTGTCTCTTTTCAGCATGGAATAAAAATTTACTTGTTCCTTTGCAGCCTATGCATGCTGACGTAGCTACTTACTTGAAATATTTTAGCCAGTTTCCTTGATCTGGGTTGGGTTCTGAATGTTCATCTCGGCCCTTTCATATGAAGAATTGATCATGACACACTGTATGTCTTGGACTTTTGTACAGATCTTACCCTATTCTGAATTTTACAGTTTGATGTTTTGTGCTTTGTATCAGTTTATCTGTATCCCTTGTGCTACTTGTGAAATCATTTCCCATTGTATACTGTTCACAGTATTTCCTTGGTTTGGGGATGTGTAGTTTGTCCTAAAGTTTTCTAACAGTGTTTGGAAATCTAAAACATAATTTTTCAGTCAATGCAACAGCGAATATAATTAATTTCATAGCTTGGTTGTTATATTTTAAAAATATTAATCTTATTTTGGCCCTTAAGTGTACATGTTCTTTTTTTGCATATTATACAGGATGGGAAATAATATTTGTTACCTATGTACAGAAATTATACCAGATACTGTATAAATGTGTCCTTTCATAAGGGATAATATGGGCATGATACAGCATTAAAAGTAAAACATAGCAGATACATGCAAAGAAATATCTGGTGGTTTTGCTTCACAGAGCCTGAAATAGAAGATTAATAGAAGACCGTTGGTGGTTATTTATACACTTGTTACAAAATTGGTGTGGAGAAAATGGTTTCCAGTAGAAAACCAGTTTAAAACTCCTTTGGTCTTTAAAATATCTGCATTTAAAACTGAATGTTAAAATTACATTTTTTAAAGCTAGAGATAAGGGCAACAAATTAGTTAACAAATGGTATGTTTAAGCATCTTGCCTGTAACCACCATTTGATTAAGGGGTATGTTTATTAACAACATTGCAAACAAATTTAATAATTTTCACAAACTTGCAAGATGATGTGTTATAAAAAGGATCATTTATTTA